TCTTTCTATAATCTATTCTGTCTCATCATCAAAACCATAAATCATAAGTTCATTTTGTTCTGCTTTATGCAAAAAGTCCATAAGGGGTTTCCAGTCAGCAATAAATGTAGATATTGACTTTTCTTTAATCGAAAAAGTCAATTTAGCCATCTCAGCAAGTTCCATCATCTTCACCAACCATTTCTCCATTGTGGGTAATGCCAAATCTTTCTATCTTTGTGCATACAATAACCTTGCTGTGGTTATAATATACAAAATTCATTTTGTTCTGCTTTATGCAAAAAGTCCATAAGGGGTTTCCAGTCAGCAATAAATGTAGATATTGACTTTTCTTTAATCGAAAAAGTCAATTTAGCCATCTCAGCAAGTTCCATCATCTTCACCAACCATTTCTCCATTGTGGGTAATGCCAAATCTTTCTATCTTTGTGCATACAATAACCTTGCTGTGGTTATAATATACAAAAACAAAGTTCCATGACTTTTTTCTAACTGTTTATCTATCAATCCCAAAAGAAAAAACTTCTGGTCTCAATTGTATAATAACCTTTAAAATCCTCTGAATCAGTGTGTGTATTCGAATCCAAAATTTTCTAGCTTTTTTACATGTCTACCAAACATGATAAAATGTCCTTTCTTGTGTGGTCACATTTCCAACATAAATTTGAAGGGCCTTAATACATTCTAGACAATTTCTCTGGTGACATATACCAACTTTACTTCATTCTGTAAAAATTCTCTTTAAGATTATAACAGTATAAATTTCAGTCCTTTCAACCACATATTTTCCCATTGTTCCATCTGTATAATATAACCAAAATTTTTAGCCCACTTTATCATACATTCTTTAACTTGTTCTTCTTCTGTTTCAAATTTCAATAAAAGTTTATACATTTTAGCAATTGTATGTTCATTTATTCTTGTAAATCTTGTATTTATTCTATATACTGTACTTTATTAATTTATGCCTCCATATCCTCCTCATCCCAATCCAAAAAAATTGCTAAAGCTTTAATAACCTTTTCTCTAATATCTTCACCAACATCCTCTGGGATTGCTCTAAATTTCAAACAAAATTCCTTCTCTCTCAATTCCAATAGAGTCAGATTATCTAGTTCTCTTTCCAACTCTCTATCCATAACTTCTGTCTTACCCTCCAGAATTTCCACTTTGTAATTACAGTAATTTGCTTTACATCTCCAGACACTTGTTTTACAGAGCTTTTATTAAATTTAGTATTGTGATTTATTCAATTTAGTTTCAAGTGATTCAGCTAATTTACTGCCCATTCCTCAGACATTTTCTGAAGCAAATCTGGTGTAATTTCTCTCTCTGCAGTTGCTTTAGCAATCCTTTCCTCCCCCCTGCTTATTTTTGCCACTTTTTGAACTCCTCCAAAGCCTTCCTGGCTGACTTTCTTCCATATCTCTTACATTTAAAAGACTCTATGAGTTGCAAAGATGAAATTATAATATTTTGCAATCTGATGGTTTTGCAAAATTATAATATTTTGCAACCTGATTTTAAAAGTTTGCAATCTGATGTTTACCTAATAACTGTGACCATGGTTGCACGTTGATAGAACAGCTGGATTGGGGGATGGGAAATAAGCATACAAGAAGAGACAAGCTGCTGTAGAGCTTTAATTTGGGGTCAGGGAGGGGAATGATGACTGGTTTGACCCTGGGAGATGAGATGAAGCAACTGGGCATCTGTGGTGGGGAAAGTTGGCAAGCAAAAAAACATGCATCACGATGCAAAGACCTCAACTTAATACTCGCATCAGATGTTGGGATTCAAGTAAGTAAGGACAGAATTCTGTCACAATGTCACCAATAGAATGCCATCATTTGTGTATCATTGTGGCCAGTGTGAAAATGGGCTGGCCACAGGGTTTGCAGAAGTGCAGAGATTCAAGAGAAAACACCAGCTTAACTGCAATTTCAGATAAACTACAGCAGAGTAAGAAACTGACTCAGTTCCTTCCCCCCCCCGCCAAAAAAAGATGACAAGTCCAAATCAAATGCCAAAGTGATGCAAAGCAAATCTGTGGAAACACTCTCAATGAAAACTGAGCACTTCTCACAGGGAAGTGAGTTTCCTTTTTCTCTTTCCTTTTTTTTCAAAAAAAATTGCAATAAGAAAAATTAAAGAAATATATCTAAATTGATTAGAGTGGCCACGTGCCAAGGACAGTGTTTTGGAATTTTCCAATAATTGTTTAGAAACGTTTTCAGTATAACTAATTTAAAGGCAGAGTTCTGTTCCATATAGTAGCAGGCCAATATAAAGTGAACAGAACAGAAAAGAGGGGACTTTGAATGTGAAAATTTTGACAAAGCAGCAACATGAAATCTGAGTTCTATTCTCTGTAACCGCAGCTGTTGGAAAAAAGCATTCAAGGTTGACCACTATAGTATTACAGTTTAGATTTCTGAAAAATCCAAACTGTATATGCACATGTGTGCAAATGTCCATATTCACTAAAGGTAATCAGATAGCTGTTCCATTGTAACAATTTTAGTGTAAACACACACACACACACACAACCTGTATTGTGTAGCATTGAGAAGATCAGGCAGTCTGGATCTGACAGAAGTTTGAAGAATAGTTGGAGATGTAATACAGACAGTAAATCTCAGTGATGCGCTCCCAAATAGTCATGGTTTAAAACAGAATTATTAATAAAATAATACTTTTCAGATTTAAAAAAATCAATTTCTTTTACTTTCACCTCTGGCTTTCTGATTAGAGATTATATTATGTAGAATATAGCCATTTTATAGAAAAACACTAAATGTGCTTCAGCAATTTCAGGAATAGCCAGGTAACATCAGCCATGCAGTGAGGTATACAGTAAGACACAAATAGATGACAGTGTTTACATCTCTATTCTCTTTGAATTCTGTTCCAGCTATGTTGGATTAATCTTTCCTTCTATAGAAAAAAAAAAAAAACCTTCCAGTAACAAGAAGGTGGAGAAAGTCTTCAATATATTCAGCTGCAGAATAAAGCTACATTTTAAGGGGATTACTGTGGTGAGCAAATGTGGGTTTAATTCCTCTAGCTGGATCTTGGAATCCCTCCAGCTAACACTGCCAAGTGACCAGGAAAAAAAAAATCTGACCTAGAAGAGGTTTTATTTTGTTTTTGTTTCAGGCTAGTTGCCAGAAAAACAAGAGGAAGAAATATTTTTCCCCATTTTGGTTA